TGATCTTAACGGGTGGCCGCTGCAGAGAACTGGTTAGGTTCTCTGCAATCTGCCAGACTGCCAGTATGCCAGTTGCCCATTCTGCATTATTTGCATGATTTCCATAACATATGTGAGTCCAAAATAAAATTATGCAATTGTCTTTTCAGCTACAAGGATTTATCCAGTGTTTCGGAATATTGAATATTTTGAGTTGATAAATGTTAAGGAGATTTTATCAAAATAAAATTTTCACCTTATATTTTTTCGTATAATATTTAATGTTAGTACGAGAATTAAAGTTAAATTATTTAGTGACAGACAATTTATGGAGAATTTCTGTTTTGAGAAAGTCTCCTTAGCATTTTTTTATGGGTTTTATAATTGTTACATGTTTGGTCCAATACACAAAAATTAAGGAGAAATTTGGAAAAATAACCAAAATTTGAACCTCATATAGAGTTATGACCACCTTTTTAAATTTATGACAATTATAACCAAAATTTGATAGAAAATTACTCATACACCTTTAAACCTAGCTTTTTCACAGAGCGTGGCATCCTAGAAAGCTTCATTTCTGCTGAAAAGTAAAACCCTGTTTCTTCATATCTTGTTCACTGAGGACAAATTGCCTCATTAGCATAAATTTGCTGGCAATCTCTAGGAATTCAAATGAAACCCAAAAGCATAGTCTACAATTCTGTCCCAAATGTAGCTTTGCTCAAGGCATATTTACTTGGTAAAGGATTATCTGAAGGCGGAAGAAGTTTGGATATTTACGGCAGTGTAGAGAAAAACCAGAAAAAAACGGAACCAGGCGCAAAGAAAACCATTCCCAAATCAATTTATGTTGCTGCATTTCCTTCCACGTGTATGCTCCAGACTTGTGACTCCAAAAGCAAACAAAAAAATGTCAAATTTTTTGGGTCTGATTGTACAAGCAGAAGAGAAGTACCAAATTAGAGAAGGAAGAGTCGAAGAGATCTATGGTGGAGTATGGAGGAAAAAGAAGTGGAGTTCATTGGAGAACTGTATGGGTATATTAGTACTTTCATATTAAATTTTGGTTATAATTATCATAAAATTAAAAAGGTGGCTATAATTTCTATATGGGGTCTAAATTTTAGTTATTTTTCTAAATTTTCCAAAATTAAGGTCTAATAGTTAAAAAGTTTGAAATATCTTATATTTTGTACAGGCAATAGAAATCCACTATGCTTATTGTTTGAAAGAGCAATTCTGAGTATTGATGGTAGTAAATTGTTCAGTATTTGGTCATTAAATAAAAGTTTCCTGCGAAGGAGAACTAGCCTTTGTTGATATTCTTGAAAATGTATCGAATTAGTAGGTTTTGTTATTGAAAATGATATTTGAATTTCATAGTAACAACACATTCTTCAATAAAGAACAAATGTGGATCCCATACTTAGACTCCATAGAATCCGAATCCTCGCTATAAAAATTGACCGTACGATGTACGATGAATGAACACGATTCACGGATTTCCCCTCATCAAAAGGATCCTGAGAGGATCTTGTTGGCATATTTAAAGCAAACATCGGTTAGAGTTTGTTCCCAAATGACTAAAAGTGTTTTTGTGGATTCATAATCATTTTGGACATGGTTTTAATAGAAAAGTTTAAGGGGCAGTTTTAAAACTTTTGATTTCAGTTTTCAATTTTTAGTTTTGTACTTAAGGAAAAACTTGACATAAGAAAACTTGTTTAGTAACTATCATTAGTTTCAGTTAAGAAAAAAATAAAAAATTGAAAGATAATTTTTGAAAACGCAAAGAAATAGTTTTTCGAATAATTTTGATTCAAGTGTTCAAATTAGAAACAACTGAAAATAAAAATTAAAAATTAAATAGTTATTTAACGGTCATACAAATTTTCAAAAACATTGATTCTTCAAGAAACACTCGAAATGTTTATGAAACTTACTCCATGCTTTCAGTAGAAGCCTTTTTTTTTTTTTTTTTGAAAGAATTATAAAATAAGTACTTCCTAGAAAAGCATTTCCGGACAAACCTGAGTTCCAAAGGTGCATGCTAAAGGAACAGTATATTATACTCTCACGTACGACGTAGTGGGACAAACCCGCACGTGACTCCCTGAACCCTGTCTGCGTCTTCCCGGTGTCTTTAAGACCAATGCTCCCCACGTGCACCCGTGCGCTCTGTTGCTGTCAGCTGCAAATGTACAGCTTTCACTCGGCGGTTAAAACAAAAAAACGTAAAAACGCCAGACGCCTTTTCCCTCGTGCGGTTAAACCAACCAACTTCTGACAAAAACGCCGACCCCCAAATATGGGCCTCCATTCAAAGCCCAAACATCACCGTACGGGCCTCAGATGCAATTTGAGAAGGTCCATTGGGCCTTCGAGAAACAGTTTAACAAAAAGCGTGCGAAAAAAACAATGGTGCGGGGCCCAGCACTAGAGATTTGCCGCGTTTAAGGTAGTGTCGTCGTCGTCGACGACGCTTCCATCCTTAACCACTACACAAACACACCGCGTGAAGGGAAAGCTCGACGAATCGAGAGGCAAAAGCTTTGAAAAGCGGACGAATTCAATCGATTTTCTGAGAAATCGGAGTCGAACGCGCGCAGAGACGATCCGATCCGATCCGGGCCGAACCGGAGAAGTTTCAGATTGATTTTCGACCCTTCGATCCGGCGCCATGAGTTTCCTCTTCGGGAAGCGGAAGACGCCCGCAGGTTCGTAGATTGATCCAGTTTTGGTGAATTTGGTTTGGTTTTATGTTATTGAGGGTTTTGATTTGTTGAATTTCTGTGATATTTGTCTTTCCTGATGTAAAATTTGTAGCATCTTTAAACAAAATTGGGAATTTTGTGTTATGTTTTAATAGATTTGGAAATTATAGAGACTGATTGGAGCAAATCGAGAAATTTAAATAATTTGTGTGTTAATCAAAGAATTTAATGTTTTTGTTGCTAATTATTGATGCTAGGAGCTGATATAAAAAATGTATGCTTTACAATTCAATCTAGTTAGTCAATGCTTTTTCCAGTGCTTAGTTTTTCAATATATCTGTATACGTAGGAGGCGTCGTAATGATTATAGACCTTAAATTCCACCCGATATCCGGAGTTGTGGTGTAAATTTGTAATGTGTAACCTTCAATTGGGTTATGTATAGACGAAATGAAGAAATTCTAAGTACTTGAAGCACAAGGATGTCTATATAGTGATAATCTTTGGTTTGTGCATTATACACCGTTATTTGCACATCGATATCTGAATTTGATTGCTCAATTGGTAATCCGGCTGTTTGGTTTTTGGACGCGTAACACTATTTTGTTATTCATATCAGTGTTCTTTAAGAATTACTTTTTTATAAGCTGAAATTGTACTTATGCGTCTGAATTTGAGATTTCAGAACTTTTGCGGGAAAACAAGAGGATGTTGGACAAATCTATTCGAGAAATAGAGAGGGAGAGAGGAGCTCTCCAAGGACAAGAGAAGAAACTAATTCTAGAGATTAAGAAAAGTGCCAAGCAAGGGCAGATGGTATGTTATTTTCTCTCTGCTACTTGTTGTTTTGCTTTATTGTTCGTGAAGGTCGATTTTAGTATCTTCCTCTGTCTGCACTCTGTGGCTGATCTACTGTTGACCGCAGACCTAAACTCCCTCGGCTCATTGTTGCCTAATTATCTGTTGCTGAGTTTTAGTTATGCAGTTGGTGTTATACATACTTTGATTTGATGGTCACAAAGCCTAACTGTGGTTTTTATTTGTCCAACTTTGTTTCAGGGAGCTGTTAAAGTTATGGCGAAAGACCTTGTTCGAACACGGCATCAGATTGAAAAGTTCTACAAGCTCAAATCACAACTCCAGGGTGTATCTCTTAGAATTCAGGTATATCCTACATTATGCCTTTTTAATTATATGAATGAAAGTTTCCTTCGCAATTTTTAACACCGTCATTATTTTGTTCTTTTCAGACATTGAAATCGACACAAGCTATGGGAGAGGCGATGAAAGGAGTGACAAAGGCAATGGGCCAGATGAACAGGCAGATGAACTTGCCATCACTGCAGAAAATTATGCAAGAATTTGAGAGGCAGAATGAGAAGATGGAATTGACAACTGAGGTGATGGGCGATGCCATTGATGATGCGCTGGAAGGAGATGAGGAAGAGGAGGAAACCGACGAACTAGTGAGCCAAGTTCTTGATGAGATTGGAATTGACGTCAACCAAGAGGTACTTTACATCAGTAGATAAATAGATTTTTCCTCTGCACTCTGATTACCAAGAATTAAAATTTTTGAGCAGCAATAACGATTTTTCGGTTTTCTTATTCTCTGCAGCTTGTTAATGCACCATCCGCTGCTGTTGCTGCGCCGGCTGCGAAGAACAAAGTTCCACAAGTTGAAACAGCGGCAGCTGGAGCTGATGACGGTGGGATAGATAGTGATTTACAGGCGAGGCTAGACAATTTAAGAAGGATGTAGATTTCATCTCTTGTATATTATTGGCATAGTGTGAAAGGTGAGAGTAACTTTGGGCATTGTAATATCTGTGAGAAATTTATGCCGGAATTTAAAGAATCAGGATCTGAGACGGACATATTTTAATAAAATTACATTCGATGAGTTTGTACACAAAAAATATTCTGCGAGAGGGAATTTGAGCTTGAACACAATGATGGAACCAATCGAAAGGCAAAATATGTTTACACTCCGTTCACCTAATCGAGTGTACTATGAACGTGGCCAAGTAACATTACTATTGTACTCAAATCACAATAAGTTGATTTGTTTTGTGTTAATATACCCTAAAAGAAGGGTATTAGCTCTATCGTTTATCTTTATTATAACACGTGAAATGGTATATCACGTAACTTGTGTTCCTGATAATTATAAAAATATCTCCAACTAATCCTTGTTTTCTACAATCCACTCCTTGATACCATCGTCCTACACAAACCAACAAAATCCAAGAAACCCTAGATATGGAAATGGAATAAAAAAGCCGAAAAAAGGAAACCCTAGAAAGCTCACAGTAGCAGGACTTCTCTGGAATTCTCCTCCGGCGTAGTAGTCAGCTGCGGATGACTCCATGAGCTCGCCGGCAGGGGAGTGCGACAGAGCGGGCAGTCGGAGTGAGAGTTGAGCCACATGTCTATGCAAGGAGCATGAAAGGAGCGCTTGCAAGCAGGACTTCTCTGGAATTCTCCTCCGGCGTAGTAGTCAGCTGTGGATGACTCCATGAGCTCGCCGGCAGGGGAGTGCGACAGAGCGGGCAGTCGGAGTGAGAGTTGAGCCACATGTCTATGCAAGGAGCATGAAAGGAGTGCTTGCATATAGGAAGCTTTCTTACTTCTTCTCCGTCCTCAAAAACTGACAAGCAAACAGCACATTCGACACAACTTTCATCTTTTGACGTTGACCCTCGTTCTTCTTGTACCTGAAGCTGTCCAAGTTCTCAAAGCTCCTACTCCTCCTTGTTCTTGAGAGATCAACCAAACTGATTGATGATCTTGGTAGCGGAGACTGGTCGTGGCGGTTCGAAGTCAGTTTGACGAAGATAAGGTTGTACATGGCTAGGATTATGGCGGCTACTGAGACGATTATGAGGCCGTAATAGAACATGGGTAAGTTTGTTTTTGGTGGCGGAGTAGGCGGGGGCTGCGGTGGCTGTGAAAAAGGGCTTTGTATTGTGTGGAGCTTGCAACCCATTTTTTTGGGGGGGTTTTGGCGAAAGTGGCAATAGGATTTGGAGGGGAGGAGGGGCCTTAAATTAGTACTAGGTAGTTGTTTCATTTCATCAAGAAGATTCTCTACTCTAATCCTGTTATTATTAATTAGGTTTAAATTAGATTAAAATAACAATTATGTTGTTGGCCTATTTTACTGTGGGAAAAGAGAAGCATGAAACCGGCGGAAGGGGAAGAGAGAGAACTGCTTGAGGAATTTTGTGTTATATATTCCTTGTGCTTTGTGTCTAGATTAATTAATAATTAAGGGATATTTCTCATGTTTTGTTTTTTTTTTAATCTATTTTAATAAGGGAGAGAGAATTCTTGCTCTCCAAGTAATACAATTACGACAAGAAAACTATCTAAAAAATATTGTAGAATTATGCAAATAATCTACTAAGATTTACATAATTACACTACTAATGAAATTAGGAATGCAACAAATAATACTACTTAGTCTTGGACACATAAAATTGACACATTTGCTTATACACACATTCTTCAATACAGTTGAGAGGATTCATTGTAATTTTCACCTATGTTAGATAATGTATTAACCAAATAAGTTTGGACGCTTGTTTGGAAATGTTTTTAAATGACTAACAGTGCTTTTAGAGAAAATATTTGAAGTTTCAAAAGAACTTAGTGTTTTTTGTAAAAAGCACTAAATGTTTTTTATGTGATCCTTTCAGGAAACATTTAAGTTTTTCTAAGATTTACTTACATTTGTACCAAAATTGGTTCTAAAAATATTTTCACAAAAAATGCTTTCAGCCATTTTAAAAACACTTTTAAATGAGCTTTTAATCTAGTATATCAAGATAACCATTTTTATTATAACAAGTAGTTAATCGAAAAGCCGTGGTGGTTATGTAGTTGTGGAAATAATAATCTTTGTTTAATAATCTGTGGGGGGTAAGGAATGATTGGAAGAAGACAAAAGGAATGCACAGTTAAACACAAGATGGCAAGCAAGGGTGGATGAGACTTGAGAGGGACTTAAATTTATAGATAAGAATTATTTCACTCTCAGTCTGCTGCCTTATTCTTGGCTAAGACAACAATTAAATAAATATATTATTGTTTGATTGTTTGACAGAAAACTAATAAAAAAAGGTTTGAAAATTTTGATTTTTAACTGATAAGACAAAATAAAGGGTAAAGTGAATAGTATCAAGATTGACTTTTTAGTGTAAAAATGTGATTTTTCGTTAAAATAAACAGTACCGAGAAATGTTTGTTAAAGTTCCCTTGTTTTATTTACTAATCTTGTGTAAGTATTTGTCCTTCAATTGGTAAGCCATGGCTTTACAATTACAATTTTTCAATTTGAGTTGAAACTTACATACAACAATCAAATCTTATCTCTCTAGGTGGAGTTAACTGTATAAATAATTAACTGGTGAATATAGAATGTCTAAATGCAGAGACTCAGAATGCCTTTTTAACTGTCTAGCGCAATAGTCGGTTTCAATAATAGACATTTCCTAAATTTTTTTCCTTCAGTATGAGACTTCTAAATGTTTTTTACTATAAAATAGAGTTTTGGAGGACTTACTCATGAAGTAACCAAAAAACTAAGAGTAAATTGTAACAATGGTCCCTCAACTAAAAATTCATTACTATTGGTCCTCAACTCATCAAAACATGTAGCTATAATCCTTTTTGTCAACTTTGTCAAAATGAGTTATGTTGGAAGAACCATTTCTCTAATTGAGTTAAACTTGAAGGACCATTTCTTTAGTTGGATTAAAGTTGAGGGACCATTGGTAATGAATTTTTAGTTGAGGGATTATAGCTGCACGTTTTGATGAGTTGAGGAACCAGTGCTAATAAATTTTTAGTTGAAGAACCATTGCTTCAATTAAGTTAAAGTTAAGGAATCATTGCTACAATTTACTCAAAGAACTAAACCTCTTGATCTAATATTTTTCTAGTAGCATCTTGCTATTTATAGCATTTGTGTTGTAAGAGGAGTGGCACGGTTTCTGGGTCTTTAATTCAGAACAATATCATCAACCTTGGTCTGTTGATAACAAGTCCAACAAGACTTTAATACTTTCATCGCTACTAAACTTCATGCCTGTTCCTGTCTAGATCAAATATGTGAATAGTACTCATGACCTAGTGTTTTGCATGAACCAAAACCCTAGAAGCTCCTCTGTGGTACCTGAATAACTGCCATGGTTATGTTGATCGAGCTCGAAACCTTTAAGGTACAAGATTATTCGGTTCTCAAATCCTAAAACTCCAATCTCCGTCTACAAGCCCCTTATCATAAACTAAAAAGCTACGACAACCTAATGGGCGAGGTGTCTGATTCAAACAGTTGGGCATGGAAGAAATTGAAGGATGTTATTAGTTTACCCTCTTGTGTTTTCTTCAGTTCTTATCACCAACCTTGTGTAACAGCATGCGGCACGTGTACTGGCTTCTGACGAACAACCAATATTCGCTTTTTATTAGGAAGATCATGAAGATCGATGGGAAATTACCACAGCCGGTAAGTGATAGTGAATGTTCTAATTCCAACCAACTCGTGGACTGCCAAGTTCGCCTTTGGTATGATTTATTTTGATAGAAGAGAGACGTTCATGAACTTATAAGTCATGGATATCATGATAAAAAAGTATGGAGCAAGAGACAAGCATTGAACATCAGTCTTGTAGTTCTTGGAGATCTGCAATCTACCGTGCTCCTCCTTCTCTTGTAGCACTTTACAAAAGTGATATTGCACTAATGAGAGGGTACCACAGAGTAATCTTTTACAAATTTCAGGATTCTAGTTGTAACGTTGTTCGGCTAAAGGATCAACAACCTGATGAAATTTTCAAGCTGCAGTCGGATTTTGAGAAAGTTAATTTGAAGGATCCATGGAGATGGCAAGATTTTAGCTTCATCTTCTTCTTGTTTGCGTTTGCTATGTTTAGTTATGGTTTATGTTCTGTGTTAGGTTTATAAGTACTGCCTTTGTATTTTAGTTAATTAATTGCTTCTCTAATGATTTACTTATGATCTACTTTGCTAGGTTTTTTTTTGTATTGTTTTTGGTGTTGTACACAGAGACATGTCATATTTGTGGAAAGGTCTACAAAATTATCATTTTTACTAATTTTCATTCTACTTAGGGAGAAATTTTTGGTGTGCCGGGAATACGGCTCCATACAATAAGTATCATAATATTAGTGGTTTGATACTTAAAAAAAAAAAAAAAAAAAAAAGATTAAAACCACTTGTACTATGACACTTGATGCATTGGCCTGTATTCCCGGCACACTGAAAAATCTCTCCTACCTATAGACTTTTTTTAATCAGTTTCTGATAAGCTCATATTTATGTATATTTTACATCAAATTCACTTGTCTTTTCTTAGTTAGTTCCTTATATTTTTTTAGCTATTTACTTTGTTTTTGTATTTTGTAGGATTTGTCAAGCAAAGAAAAGAAAAATAGCACAAGTGGAATTTTTAGTAACAAATTCGTTAAAACTGCCTGTGCAAATCAGTTGACTTTAGAAGCAAGTTGCGTACAGCTCAGAATGAATTAGAGAATGATCCTTATATTCTTGGAAAGTTACAGATGTCTATTTTCTGGAGCATTTCGTGGATTGCTAATATCATTTTTCTAGAAAAAGTTATGGTCATTTTAACACTGAAATATTCAAAAGAGACTGAGCAGTTTGTAATTGCTATGAAAGTAATAAACCCAATAAATCTAGCAGCCAAAACTGATGCAGTCAAGAACAAGTCAGCTGACACCTATTCAAATATCAGAGGAAATGGAATTAAAGATGAGGATTAAGAGGGAGTAATTAACATAAAGGCTGCCCAGAGAGTTACAATTGTTTTATCATTTTCTCTCACTTATTGTCAACACTAAATTGCTATTAGTGGGGGGAGTTATGGAAATGATGCAGCAAGAATTGGTTTAAAGGAGCGTTGGGGGAGGAAATAAAGGGTATTTTTTACGAAAATAATTTTGAAAAAGAAAAAAAAAAGATGGCAAAAAAAGGCAAGGCAACACCGTTAGGGAAGGAAGGAAAGGAAGAAGGAAGTCTTGGCATTCTCTTCTTTCGGTTTTATCTTCTCAAACTCATGTCTTTCTTTTGGTTTTATTTAAGGATCATGTGTAACTAATTTTTAGAAGTTAGGGGCTGTTTTGAAGCCCCAAATATGATTGCAAGTTTGTTATGACATTTTGTTTGAATTACTTTTATGAATGGATGAAAATTGGTTCACTACTTGTCTCATTGATGAATTCTTTATGTGTTTTCTATGGATGCATACTTAGTAAGCATATCTAGGATTCTAACACTATGAATATGTGTGTGCCTGCCCTTGTCAAATGAGGACCTACATATGTTCTAGAGTAGTACTTGTTAATTGCGAGTAACATGTGAACCAATTTCTAAGATAAGTAAGACAACGCTAGTACTTACGATGCCTTATGATGACTCAAATTCTTTTTGCTCTTAATGATTTCTACTTGTTAATCTATGAACACGTTATTCTAGATTGCATGCTAGGGACTAAGTTAAGTTGAAAACGTCATTCTCTTAACATACTACATAAGAAAGAGTAATAGGTTGAGTTCTAATATTAAGCCAACTTGAGCATCTTCATCAGGAAATAAAAGGAATTTCAATGAAACATAACATGTTTGCATGATTATTTGATGGTGGATAGAAATTCCCCTAACTCGTTTTTCTTAATTTGTGAACTACTTAAAATCTATTTCTGTTCTGCTTTTGTTCGATTTAATTTAAATAGCAAATCAACTCCAAAAATCACAAAAATTTATGTGAGTGTAGCTCTGTGTGTCTAGTGTCTTCATATAAAATTTTGTAGACTTTAGATAAGTGTAAGTCGGTCTAATAATTATTTTTAGTGGCTGGTTAGTAGGGACAACAGTCCAGTTTTTGTGACATTTTAAGTAGTTAGATAAAACAATCTTCTATAGGAAAGACCCTTATTTTCATATGCTACAATTGACAAATCTTAGTGTTAATAAGGAAAATCAATAGGACATTTGTGTGCTATATTGTGGTGTGCTTTTAATCCTATAAGTTCTCCCTACAGACTTGTTCAAGCAATTTCTTTTTTTTTTTTTTTTTTTTTTGGGTAAAAAGTTGCTTTCTATTACCAACCAACAAAAACATATAGCCCAAAGTAAACATATAAACAAACAAAAGATGGGCCAAAAAACAAAACAAAATACAAAATGAACCAACTAACAGACAAGCCTAAGACCAAAACTAAACAACATAAACTAGAAACTTCATACAATCTCTGCCTTCACAGTTCCACACGGTCCATCCAATTCCTCTTCCACCATCAAGCATCACCTCATCAATCACAACTTCCAACTCCAATTTGCTTCTTGAGCACAACCATAAAAACAGGATAGTTGGCAACTAATCAAGAGAAGCCAACTACCAGATGAAGTCTGTGGAAACCCACGAGCGGCATTGCCGGTAAAAGTAGACAACATAGATAAGGTGGTAGTGTTGGAAACACCTGAGCCGGTGAAAACACTGGAACTCTACACACAATCTCAACATGATGCATGGCTAAAGATTGGAATAGGGATGAGCCAGGAGGAGGGATATCCACAAGAACAGAAGAACCGTACAAATCAGTAAAGAAATTAAGGGGAAAAACCAATTAAAGCCAGGAAAAGAGAAGAGGAAGAAAGAAAAGGGAGAAAGGCAACCGACCATGGCCGAAACTAGGTTGGGACCACTGGATATGTTCAAGATTAAAAGTCTCACACTAGAAGTGAGAAAAATTCTCAATATAGAGAGAAAGGCTCTCTCTCGGAGAGAACGAACCTAATGATTTGTTCAAGCAATTTCTTTGGCCCCATTGTTCAAAAAAAAAAAAAAGAAAAAAAATCTTTGGCCCCAAGTTTCCAACACCAAGTTAAACGCAAAAAAAACAATAAACTTTTGGGCATGCTATTTCTAGAGTGCAGCAAGAAATAAATAGTGAAACTGGAAGCTTGTAGTGAAAGATATCCTAATGTTGTGAGAGAGGGGAGATTGAAACTTAATTTTTGGACCTTTTTGAAACATTAAGAAGAGATACAACTAGACTAATACCTAATTGATACATTGTGCTAATTAAAATCACATCGCATCTCGACACCCTAAGGTTCATGAGAAAATTTCAATCCTAATTCTGTCGCTCTCGAATGGCCCAATTACTTCAGAAATATGGTTTGGTCATATTCTAGCACATAACATCACCCAATGATATCCTTGATTAGTTGTACATGACAATTTAATGAAATTGTTTTGGTGTAACTGTTACAACCGTCATATATATCACTAACTAATTCACATGGTATACTTTGAGTGAACGATATAGGATTTCTACGTACAAGTAAAGTCCTATATTTGAGATTGGCATAATTCTTTATTTTGATCTCTGTGATTGAAAATCGATGGACCTTGTCGCTAAATTTGTTCACCATCAATCACTTTAGTCATTCATTGAAAAATTTCTATTAAATAACAGTTAAATTGAGAGTATTTTTGTTATTTTATTCTTATTTAACCGAGATTTTGTACGGAATGACCAAAATAATTGACGTGGGCAAACTCATTGACCAATTATATCGATTTCAAATCTCAGGACCAATTATGTAACTGGAAACAGATTCTTCCCATCAATCTTGAAGTGCTTCGACATCTGGTGGCTGTTGTGCTCGTCCTTCTCCTGTAACATTTTACAACAGTGACATTAAACTAATTAAAGACAGGGTTCCACAATGTAATCTTTTACAAATTTCAGGATTCTAGTTGTACGTAATATGGTTCGGCTAGAAAATCGACCTGACGAGGTTTTAAAGTTGCTGTCGGATTTTGAAAGAGTTAACTTGAGGGGTCAATGGAGACTGCAAGATTTTGGTTTCATCTTCTTCTTCTGGTCTATTTAGTGGTTTTAAATGCTTATATAAAGACTTGCCCACTTTAGATATAATATAGCCAACTTACAACCCATATACAGCCCACACCGACTGTAGGGAAAGATGATCAGATCAGCAGCAGCCATTGTCAACTTCTCTTCAATTCATTATTCCACAAATTTTTTTATTTTTTATTTTTTTGTTAAACGATAGATTTGTTAGATTAGTCACCGATGTGTTTTAAACTCATACTATCATATAAGGACTCAACAACTTTCTACCACTGTGGTAAAGATGACTTGCTTCACAAATTAATTGATCAAACACAGCTTTGACTTGGAACAACAAAAAATTGACTGACAGCTGAGAAAGTTGATCCAGAAGATAAAGGAAAATTGTTAAACCCTAAACACTGAAGCCAAGTTGCTAGTTTAATTTATATTTTTAATTTCCTCGTTCTCCACACTTGAGATTAAGATAATTTGGATTGAAGACGACCATTTCCTTGATTAGGAAACTGGCTGCGCCATCCACATGCCACCAACCCCATGCAAATTAAAAAAAAAGAAAAAAAGACTTGGTTACCGAGTCTTTTTCTTCGATTCGGTTCACAATTTCAAGACCATTTTAAACCGAACCGAGATGATCCCTACTAACAAGTAATAACGAGAACACAAGAAAAGAAATGTTAATATATGCACATGCGAGCCTCTTCTTAGTATATACAAGAATAATAATATTTTTCTTGAAAAAAAAAGAGTAAGATTACATATAAGATGTTACTACAAATAATTTCTCGAATAATGTTTGCATTCTTCCTTTGGAAATATGCTCATTTCCCACTTGCAAATAATATATATTCACCATAAAAATATTATAATCAGAGATGTTCAATCTCTTAATCTTTATTTGAAGATCATCTTTACAAAAAATCATTTAAATCGTGATCGACTGTTGATAAATAGCATATTTATGATCAACTGTTCATTTATTTCATACATTTAGATGACTAAACAATATCCAATTCGAGTGACTTTTTTTGTAAAGTTTACCTTCAAATGAAGATTAGAAATGAATGGTTATGATTATAAAAAATTTAAGGTGAAGATACGTCATAAGTAATTGGGAGAATCAGCTCACCCGTAAGAGGGAATGCAAGCATTATCCTAATTATTATATCAAATGGTGATTGTATTAAAATTGCATTTCTTTTTTGGGATATGTGTTCATTTCCCACTTGCAAATGACATTCTTTCCCGTATAAACTTTATAATCGAAACGGTTTAAATTCTTAACCTTCATTTGAAGATCATTCCTACAAAAATATCATTCGAAATCAAGATAGTTTAGTCATCAAAATATATTAACTGAATCAACGACATAGGTACCAAGTAACTATTAATAACGAGCCGTTGATTTATTTGATATATTTTGATGACTAAATGATCTCCGATTCAAATAATTTTTTTGTAAGGACAATTTTTAAATGAAGATTAAAAGTTGAACGATTTCGATTATGAATTTTCTAAAATGAAATTACATTTTTTTGCAAATTTAGGAATGAGGTCATACTTCAAACAAGGAATGCAAGTATTATTCTTGTATTAAATATATGTAATTATTATAACCAATCTTATAAACATGTGCTCTCACATCATTGTTATATTAAATTTTTCTGTAAAAGCGATTAATTGTATAATTGAAAATAGTGTTATATGCCAAATTGTGTTTACAAAAATATTTTTATGAAATATAATTTTCTCAGTTTCATAAAATTCTTTAATTTTTTTAATTAAATAAAGGATTTCAAATTAGGTGGGTAAAAGTCACTACACTTTTTTTATCTTATTTTTCATTTTTGTTTTGTTTGGTTGTCGTTGGATTTGTTTAAATTCGTTATTATTTCGCGGCTCAAATAAGAACACAAAATGGAAGCCTCCTCAGTCGGTCAATAATTTCCAGCGCCATTACAACTTTATATATTCATCAACAAACGTCAAAATTTGTCTTCCCAATTTATGTTTCTAATTTTCTATCACAATCCTTTTCCATAAAATCCGATTAAATCTCTCGTTCTCTCTCCAAAACTCACATTACACAGCACTCTGCTGCAAAATTGCTTGAAGCTCCGTCTCTCTCCGGACATTGCAAATATTCTCGAGAAATTTCAAAACTTTCTCGGAGAATCCAAAGCGTGTTTTCATACTTTGCTCACTGTCCAAATGGGTATCTAAAGCTTGAATCTTCTGCTTCAGTGGCGGAGAAAAGTTACAATGGAAGGTGGAAAAGGCGTGGGGGAGAAAAAAGGAACAAACGACGTGGTTTTGCAGATTTCGGTAGGAGAAGAACACATGAGATACAGTAACGAAATCAGAGACTCGAATCTCCAGCTGACAGAGCTTCAGAGCCTCAGGGTCTCCGGCTCTGCTTCTCCAGAAATCCCAAAGCCGAGTCCCTCCCCGCCGCTGGGGAAGCCGCCGAAAATCCCAGCCGAACCCACTTCCCGGCGAGCTTCGTTTTCCCGGTCGACGTTCTCGAAGCCCAAGTCGAGGTTCGTGGAGACGGTTCCTCCTGCTGAAAAGAAGGCGACCGACGAAATTCCCCAGTTGAGGTCAACTGCTAATTCCCCCAATGTGGCATCGCCAAGCTCCAAAATCGCAGCCACAGCACCGAGAGATGCTCTGAGATCAGCCCCGATAACCCCACGAACGCCTTTGATCAACAGCAGCGAGGAGGATGACGATGAGGAGGTTTACAAGACTGCAAAGCTTAAGGTGCGTGAGAAGTCTGGTAAGAAGATGAAAAAGTTGGCACTAATTGAGTTGATTGCATTTGCTTGTATTGTTGGGTTTTTGATTGCTTGCTTAACCGTTCCTAAGTTGGAAAAGAAGATGTATTGGGGGTTGGAATTGTGGAAATGGTCTGTCTTGGTGGTGGTTGTTTTGTGTGGTAGATTGGTCACAGAATGGTTTATCAATGTTCTGGTTTTCGTGATTGAGTTGAACTTTTTGCTTAAGAAGAATGTTCTGTATTTCGTTTACGGGTTGAAAAGAAGCGTACAGATTTTTATTTGGTTGGGTTTGGTTCTTCTGGCATGGGGTTTGTTGTTCGACCGCGGAGTGAAGAGGTCAAGGAAAACCTCTAGGATTCTAGGTTACGTTACAAGGGGTCTGGCTTCGTGTCTAATTGGAGCGGGCATATGGCTGTTGAAGAATTTGTTTGTCAAAGTGGTAGCTTCTTCGTTCCAATGCAATAGATTCTTTGATCGGATTCAAGAATCAATTTTTCATCAGTATGTTCTCCGCACCCTTTCCGGGCCTCCTCTGATGGAAATGGCAGAAAGAGTCGGGAAGACCCCGAGTAGGGGCCAGTTGAGCTTCAAAAATTTAAAGGGAGGGAAAAAGGAGGGGAAGGAAGGGCCCAAAGAAGAGGTGATTGATGTAGAAAAGCTAACAAAGATGAACCAAAAGAAAATTTCTGCTTGGACTTTGAAAGGGTTGATTAACGTGGTAAGGAGTTCCGGGCTATCTACCATCTCCGACACACTTGAGAGTCTTGATGATGAGGAGAGTGAGCAGAAAGGTAAGGAGATTACTAGTGAGTGGGAAGCAAAGGCTGTGGCTTATGATGTATTCCTGAATGTCGCCAAGGGTAGCAACAAGTAAGAATTTCATTTTTGTTTATCTGAAAAGTTCCTCCGGCCTTTTTGATGACTTATTTATCTTTAATTTTCTCACTATTTTTACGGTTAAATGGACTAGGTACATTGAGGAAGATGACCTCTTGCGCTTCATGAAAAAGGAGGAGGTCGACATTGTATTACCTCTGTTTGAAGGGGCAGCAGAAACTGGCAAGATCAAGAGAAAAGCTTTGAAGAACTGGCTGGTAAATTCCAGTTGGTTTTTGTATCTGAAACTTCTTATTCTTTCGTTTTACGTACCCACCTGCGCAAAAGTTGCATTTCAAATTCACCTGACACTTCTACACTGAGAAAAAAACCAACAATGTATAATGCTACCACAAACTACAGTTTACATACTTCTTGTGATGTCCAGTTGTCTCACTAGTCACACACAGTTATAATTCTTATAAACGACCCTTTGATAGGATCTTAATTCTACATGTCGTGAACCTTGAATTTCAATTCTTTTTTCGCCAGCCACATCGGGTCGCAATTCTGGACTCTTAACCTGATTCTTGTTTTCAGGTGAATGTCTACCTTGAACGCAAATCTCTGGCACATTCGTTAAATGACACTAAAACAGCGATAGAGGAGCTGAATAGGCTTGCCTCAGGGGTTTTGCTTCTTGTGATCATTATCGTGTGGCTACTTCTGATGGGATTTTTGACAACCAACATACTGGTCTTTATATCATCTCAGCTTTTACTGGTGGTCTTTGTATTTGGTAATACTGCTAAAACTGTGTTTGAAGCAATCATTTTCGTCTTTGTGATGCACCCTTTTGATGTAGGGGACCGTTGTGTCGTTGATGGAGTACAGGTAACTTCGAAATCTTCATTCCTCAGTTAAATTTTCACTTCTATGAGAACGACTTTGCTTGACATATTTCAACCTGACAGCTCATAGTTGAAGAGATGAACATATTGACAACGATCTTCCTAAGATATGACAACGAGAAAATTTTCTATCCAAATTCAGTACTGGCTTCCAAACCCATCAGCAACTTCTACAGGAGTCCAGAGATGGGTGATTCTGTTGAATTTGCTGTTCACGTTTCTACAACGGCTGATACTATTGTGGCTCTAAAAGCCAGAATAAAAGAGTACGTTGACTTAAACTTACTCAACCTCTCAATTATATATTGCATTCAAATTTCAATCTATACATAGAGAGGCTCTCTCAGCTCAACAGCATGCTGCTTTGGTCACAATATCATGACATGCAAGATTAGAGTTTAGGATCCTTGGAACAGATAGAGTTTGATAGCTGCTAGCTAGGATTCTCGCATGGATTCGTCAATAAAAAGTTCTGTTTTGGTTATTCTGCTATCCTAGAATAACTTTTTATTCATCTGTTTGTATCTTTTGGTGGTTATGTAGCTCCTTTTTTCGTGTTGCTTCTCTTTTGGTACGGGAATTGTTTACTTGTGATTTTGCATTGCTGTTGGTATTTCTGGTTTCCTGTCGAATGTTCTCTATACACAAACATCCACAGGCATAAGCGCACCTCTGAACGATAGAAATGAGTTGCTGAAGAAAATTGAATATTTCAGGTACTTGGACAGCAAGAGTCAGCACTGGCGTCCTGCCCATAGCGTGGTGGTTAAGGATATTGAGGACGTCAACAAAATGAAAATGGCTCTTTATGTTACGCATACCATAAACTTTCAGAACTACGGAGACAAGAGCAGCCGGAGATCAGATTGGTCTTAGAGCTGAAGAAAATATTTGAAGATCTCGGTATAAAATATAAACTCCTGCCTCAAGAAGTTCATCTCCGCTATGTCGGATCATCCACTGCAGAACTTCCACCAACGTGGCAGTGATTTTTCGTTGCGTATGCTGCAAGTATGTACCTTTCTTCTGTTTTAGTTCCAGTCCAGTTTTATGACTACGAGCGAAGATTCTGACTCGTGTCATTAACTTGAAATTTTCGTCGCATTTTCCAGGGGGAGCTGCGAGTGAAGTTGCCACAAGTCTAATCGGAACAACAACGAAAATGTTGGATGTGTTACAATTCATCTCGAGGAAGTTTTGATTGTTCGATTGAAATTATGCACTTTGTATGAGTAAGTTTGATGAAGAATGCTCAGTGGAAGGGGAAAATGTCTCAACACTGAGATACTGAGATTTGTGAGAGCTGGTGGAAACACGATGTTGTAATTTTAGAATTGATTTGTTTTAATGCATGAACTGTTGAGTTTTCTTCCTCTCCACCTTTTTCAATCCCTTTGATGAGAAGCCATATGTACATGGAACACTGAGTTTCAATATTAAAACACGATATTAAAGTGATTGGTTGTTGCGTTCAGCTTATGAGTTATAATTGATGACGTGAAAGTATTGACCAAAATAAAGCAGGAGATTAGGCAATTTAATTTATGGTAAACAAGTTAAGAGCGTAGGCGTGAGTGATTTATTATCATGATACAGATTAAAACACACCTAAGCTCTCAAATTTTGTAAAGCACACTCCCACCTTTAAAGGCTAGTAGCAAATAAAAAAAATTAACTACCTTAAAAAATAATACAAGGTATACCAAACCGATTTCTTTATCCGGTCAATTAATTATTATAGCTCGTTTATAGAACCGTAATTAAAATTGGAGGAATTGAATTGAAGAGATTCAGAATCCAGATTTTGTTAAAAGCAATTTACTAGAATGTTCTAGAAGCAAAATAGAAATGGTATTGATTCCATAAAACTGCTTATAAATTTAGCAGAATCTGAATATAAATCAGTACAATTATTAAAATGCCCTTGTCCCAAGTTTTGGCTTGTCCATATATCCCAATTAAATAGCCAAGATAGAATGTAACATCCAAAAATACTCCCCTCTGGGAGGTTTGACGCCATTGGACAATTCGAATGAGAAGGGTGGTGCAAATTCCAGTCTCGATGGTGATTGGTCCAATAAGATAACCTTATCGACCAATCCCAATACAGAAGCTGCCACGTCGGACAAAGATAATTGACAAACTTCCCACCTCTCATTAAGCTCCTCTTCCCTTCCCCCCTAGCCCCCACCTCTACGACTATCTAGCAAGAAGCACCTCAAATCTGACACAAATTTTACACAAAAAAAAAGCAGCCGGTTTAGAGAGAGAAAGCTGAGCTACTCTAGAGAGAGAAAATGGCAGCAACCGCAGCAGTTACAATGGCCGTGCCATTGACCAATGCAACCCAAAAGAGGATCCAATCCTCCGCCGAGAGCTTCTTCAAGCCACTGCCACTGAGGCCCTCAAAGGCATTGGCACCCGCCGCGTCAAAATCGAGCGGGAGGCTCCAAGTCAGGGCTTCCTTGAAGGAGAAGGCGGTGACCGGAATCACGGCGGCCGCGCTCACCGCCTCAATGGTGATCCCGGAAGTGGCAGAAGCGGCCTCGGGAGTTTCTCCTTCTCTCAAGAACTTCTTGCTCAGCATTGCGGCCGGCGGCGTTGTAGTTGTTGTGATCGTTGGTGCTGTGGTTGGCGTGGCCAATTTCGACCCTGTTAAGAGAGGCTGAGGATATGAAGCATTCACAAATCTATCTTATTGTATATGTCAAGAAATTTTCTGTCTGTTTTCCATCTGTGTAAGAAGTGACTCTTATTCAACTAGTAATTTGACAGAAAACTGTGAATTCTGAAATTTCGCTCTTTCGTTTTTCAATTTTTGTGCTACGGTTCGAAACACAATGCAAACGTAGAGGATGAAAATAATAGAGGGCAACGGAAAACGAACAAAGAAAGAAAACACCATGAACTCAAATCAGAAATTTATGGAGTTGCCGGCGAGTCCACCTATGTCTACAATACCTTCTATATAAATGCTGATGTGATGACATCAATTCAGAGTCACTAGAGAACAACTTCTGTGTAAACTTATCGAAAAAAATTAAAATAATCTCCGAACAATGCAATCAGCTGCATCTAACTAAATCCGTTCAATTTAACTCGATCATGTACCTTACCTAGAGTGCTTAAAAATCATATCGAGCATGTATCTGCTTTCTGAAGAATAGTTCACCATATCTGCCTTCACCACGGTGATCTTCACCCTCTGCTCATCGCCATACATCTCCTCTTTGACTTTAAGCTTGAACAGAAACTGATTAAAGATGCTGCTCTGGACTATGTCTCCAAATCTTAATTCATCCTGCTCTTCGTACTTCAACAAGTACAGCTCCTTTGCTGAGCATCCTAAGATCTCTTCCCCGGCTTCCTGAAAAGCTGTCGCCCAAGTCAATCCAGTGTGGTCTTGAATTTGGGCTTGAAGGAGATATCTGTAGTCGCACTCATCGAATTCTTGATTGCATCTGTCACATTGCCATCCTCTGTTTCCTGACCTCGACACCTTTTTGTTGCACTGCCTATCCCCAATCATCAATGGACAAGCTGTGTAACAGAAAGAATCTGTTTTAATAAAAGATATCGTCCCCTTCACAGTGCCCCAGTCTGGCTTAACTGATCTTCCAAGACCTTCGTCCCTGATCTGAGAAACAGTTTTGCGTATCTCATTCTTAGTTCCTCCAGGAACAGTGTCCTTAGAAATGGAGACAAAAGCAGTATCCTTGCCCCCTCGGTCAAACCAATCTCTCAAGGTACGAGCATCAGAAATATCTGGGTTTATAAATAGCTGTGTAGAATGAATTGTTCCAACAGACTTCCCACTGAAATCATTAATCTTCCCAGCTTTAACAGCTAAAACTGGGGAAATCCCAGAAGCCAACATCTCTTCAAGCTTTAGACCTTCCCTGTTGCAGACATCCCCCCAAAGGGTTAGCTCAACGCTCTTGCCTGACCAATCCTTTAGATTCAGAATTCTTCTCTGAGTTTCCATACCGTTCTTCCTCATGATAGGAACAGAAGGATTGACAGATATCACAATACCAATAACATCAACAATAGAATTACTTTCAGCATTTTCAATTTCACTAATCGGCCTGAAGTTGAAGTTTTGCGCTGGTATGGAACCATCTTCATCAGGGCAGAGGTCCACAGTTGAACTTGCATCCAAAGTTATCTCCCAGTCATTCTTCAGATGGTTGAAATTCTTCTGGGCAGGTTTCAAGCTTCCCTTTGAAATCAAGTAAACTCTGCCAACCTCAATAATATCATAGAAGCGGTCAAGAACAGCATTGAAGCAGGTAACTCGTATTTCCCCTCCTTCAGAGTCAAGGAGGTCAAAAGAGAAAACTTTACCATCTCCTTTAGCATTATTATACCGACGGGGATCCCCTTTTGCTGTAACCCTTGCCTTGATAGCCCATCTTCCCTGATAAGGATTCAGAGCATTAATAGGAATGATCCGTGCTGGTGCCTCGTTCTTCATGATTGGGCCATGATTTTTGTACTGTGGAGGTGGTTGGTAAGGAGGCTGAACAGTAGCTCGAAAATTTGGCCCATCGTGTAGAGAGCTTTGAGGATGAAGACGAGGTCTGACACTCAGCCTCTCAGAATGAGAAGTAGGTCTAAGATTCTGCACATTGTGAACAGGATTTTGCGAAATCATATGATTACCAGCTGACCGCTGAACACTGCCATTACGCAACACATTTTGAGCAGCTGAATCAGGTGGACCATATGGTTTTGGATTCCCAATCATGTCAGAGTTCAGTATGATAGTTTCCATGTTCAGCACAACAATAACCCTGTACAAAGAGTACAATTCAAAGCTCGCTGCACACTTAGATACAGAAAAACGAAACAAATAATCATACAGAAACACATTCTTGTGTCAAAACACTGCCGACTCTTTACATTCATTCACAAGGTTTTGCAACTGACAATGATTTCAAGCTCTTCGGTTAATTTTTAAGTTATCTTTCCTAAAATACAAACGGAATGCATTATAGCTTGTGATTAAGAAAAAATCATCCTAGCGTAGCGCAAATAACATTCTTCATTTTTGAAGTTAGATGAACATGAAGCACAGAATTGCGACAGCTAACTTACACCAATCTACATAATCAAAATAAACTACTCAATTACTATATACAAGCTAATAAACTGATTCATCAAATTTTGAAATCTCAATTTCTTTATAGAAAATCGCATCTGATCATAATTGTTCAATCAACCACAGTTTTATCAGCTCAGATTCAGACTCCATAGCACACATTTGGTTCCAAAATCGCAATTCAGATAATTGAATTAGAACCCTAACATTATCACAAACACATTCTAATCACAGATTCACAAGCATAATCTCATCTAACAATCAAAATTAATTTTAATTAACCAAACAGAAAACGAGAGAGAGAGAGAGAGAGAGAGAGAGATACGGACTGGCGGTTCTGGAGGACGGTGCTAATGTACTCGGTGAGCTGGACGACGGAGCTTATCTGGACTCGGTTGGTCTTGATTCGGTCGTTGAGCTGCGAAGAGATCATGGCATGCTGGCACGAAACGCCGTCGGAGACCATGAAACGGTACCTCTCCTGCGTGCCGATGAGCTTAATATCGACCACCTGCACCAACGGCTTCAAATTCACGTCGCCGCCTATCATCGCCACGACGGCGTTCGGCGTCAGGTTCACAGGCATTCTGATAAACCCTAGTGATACGCGTGTGTCGGTTCGAGGAGGACGCCGACGGCGAGGGAAGGTAGATTGGGAATTTGACGAGAGATAGACGACGGAGTGAGAGGCCGTTGTGTAATTGGCGGGGGCGTTTGGGAGGAAACGATCGAGCGAGAGGGATTTTGATTTTTGGAAATTGGTTTTTAGGGGTTTATATAGATAGGCGCTCTGGCTATTTGAAATTACATTTATGTCACCGCCCTTCTAATTTTTTGTCTTCTTCCCGGCGCATTTGTCCAAATTGGAATGTGATTTTTTAAAACCATATTATTTTTTGTTGGAAATTTATTAAACAAAATCTAAAATACGAAAAAAATATTTTTTTTTTAATTTTTATCAAACCATAGATTTTGTTAGATTAGCCGTTGATAGATTTCGAACCTAGTTTATCATGTAAGAAATCAACTTATTTCCACCACTGTGGTAAAGGACCACTTGCCGAACAAAAAAGATTTGAATTCATGTGAACATTCATTTTTCTGAAGAAGATAAAAATGCCCTCATTGAATTATAAAAGTCGTGAATTATGTCTAGTTTAAATATGAGATGAACAACCATCCATATGACTATATCAAGAGTCCGAATAATTTCTCTACTTTGCACGCCCGTTGGCGATAAATAGATATGCAACTACCGACCGCTTGGGTCCTATTATACGTATAGGACTCACTTCTGCTCATAAATACTTTAGCTAGAAGAGCTTTTACTAAAAGAATTTAGAAAATTCTAATTAAGCGCCCAAGTACTACATAAATAAATACGCTTCTTCAAGAAGTACTTTCGGTGGTGTAAAATCACTTTTAATCTTTCTTGAAGTAATTCCAAACAAATCCTTAAATCTTTTTTTAAATTTTAATTCGGACGCAGGATCCAGTTCTTTCGTTTTAGTTCAGAATTGCAAATTGAACAAAATTGAGCAAAAGAAGCCGTCTTGAGTATGATAAAATTTGAGAAACGCATCGGCCCATATTTTGGTGCCGAAAATTTGACACAGGAAACCAATATAAATGAAGAAGTCGACACTCGAGTTAGAAAAGAAAAAATGGATGTCGATCTCGGAACATATGTGATGAAGGACTTCAAGCCACAATCGGGACTGGGGCCTCGACCTCAGTCGGGGCCAAAAAAGGCTCTGCAACAGGGGCAGCTAGTGCCGGCCTGATATATACGTCCTCCTTCGGTTGGTGAATTGTAACAAGGTCGGGTAAGGGGGTCTTGGGGCCTTGCTTGCCCTTGGGATCCCAATCGAGCATAATCTTGACCTTAATACCAAGCACACCCTGTATGCAAATATATGAAGTGATCAGTTGATTAAGAACGGTGAATGATTTGGATAGAACAAAAGCAGCCCATGAAACACAATAAGAAGAAGCAAGAAACGGGTGAGTGGGACTAACCTGTCTAAGGAGGACGTGCCTCACAGCAGAATCAATGTATTCGTTGACTGGCTGACCAGAAGAAATCATGTATCCGTCTTTGAACTTCATGGACTTGGCTCGCGCAGCCCTTAGCTTTCCACTAATGATCACCTGTTAACATATCACTATCAACTGTTAATGTACCAATAACATCTAACATCAAGTTAAAATTGCTTGCAACAGGAAAATCAGCCGAAAACTGCTAATGACCAACCTCACAACCCTTTGCTCCACTTTCCATGACGAATCTCAAAACACCATAGCAAGCCCTGAAAGGAACAGTCATTGGCAGATTAGTTACTGGACATCCATTTGACATATTAAAATGCATACCAATATGGAGTCCATTAATAAACATAATTGAGATCATTGGCAGTGCCACCATTTAGATAAACTTAGAAAATTACTCACCCTCGCCAACTCAAAGATATATAGATTTCAGAGCCACTGATTAAAAAAATAGCCTGACTACTAGAAATCACTGTTCGGCTGAGTATCAGTGCCTTTGTTTATACTTCTGAATGAGTGCCAAGCCTACCTAAAAGTAATAGTGGATTACAAATATGTTCCCTCCCCAAGGTTACAGCATGAAAACAAGGGCATTTCACAAGGAACATCTCACGGAGGATGTCAATCAATTTT